TCGTCGGACATGGTGACAACCACTTTCTAAATGGGGGTGATCCCATCGCACTTGACTTCAGTTTCATCTTTACAATGGGCTAATGATCTCTATCTCGGTGTTAGTATATGAATCAGGTGAGATCACGTGAGTAAAGCACTCAGTCAGGGCTCAAGCAGTGGATGACAATTACGTGCTTCTGTGGGCTGGGTTCTGGGCTGGGCCCGGCCCTGGCCGGAGAGCAGGGGATATGGGCGGCAGATGAGGGCAGTGCTCGGGAACCGCGGCGGCGGCTCGGCTCTGGGCCACTGGGCCGCTGTGCTGGGCTCTGCTAGAAAGGTAGAAAATGCATCTTACTCGTCTTTGTATGCCCCAGAGCAAAGCACAGTGCTTGGCATAGAGCAGGACCACAGCAAATATTTAAAAATGCAGATTGGACTCACACTTGACACCTGCTAAGGTTTTCTAGGCCATCTAGGAGACAAAACTGTGTCACGGAACAGAAAGGATGCTAGGCTTGAAGTCAAAAGATGGAGACTGATTCCATCACTGTGTCCATGACCCAGAACAAATCTCTTAATTTCTGTAGGCCTCAATTTCTTCACCTGTAAAATGGGGCTGTTAATACTTTGCCTGCCTACCCCATAGGATGTGGTCCAGTTCAGAAAGTCCTGGCGACCCCAGAGCAAGTTCGCAGGAGCACTGCCCCCCTGCATTCATCCAAGGAGGACCGGGAAGGCTGGATGCAGTAGACAGCCCGGTGTGTTTTGTTGGCAGGGCAGCCAAATGGCATGGCTAGGAAACGGGTTGCCAAGTGCTTGGTTTGAAGGGCAAGGCAAGGAGAGATGGGATTATGGGTAGGAGAGAACACAGCAAGAAGACAGGAAACTAGCACTTGGGAACTAAGGCTGTGAGAATGAGCCACGAGGTTCCTTCTGACGAGGTTCTCAGTGACAAACCTCCTAGTTGGCGTTTATTGAGCACATACTATGTGCCAGGTGTAGTCTAGGTGTTCGAGTGGATTATTTCCCTTAGCCCTCACAGTAACCCTGCGTGGGCACTTCTGGTATTACTCCTGTCACAGGTTAGGAAACTGAGGCATGGAGGTCACGTAGGATTTTAACTCGTGGCTCACGTTCTTTATTAGCCCAAGTCACCACTAGTACCCAAAGCAGGGTGGTTAAGGGGACCTAAAAGAGAATACATTGAAAGGCATTTCTGAATTGTGACGTGCTGATGACGTGTGGGGTGGTGTCATTACCTAGCCTCTTTCACTCTCAAGGTAACTCTCCAAAAACGGTGTGTTGAACAGCTGGGGTTATGGGAACCACCCTCCTCCCAGGCCTGGCCCTGGTGGTTGGACCCTCTCCCAGAAGGTCTCTAGGGGCTGCAGATGACAGCGGCTGCACTGGTGCCAGTGGTCAGCTTCACTCCCAGCTCCAGACCTGTCCTCCTGTGCACCTCTGAGGACCAGGGTCTGCTGGCTGGGGCTTCCCAACTCAGACACAGCCCAGGCTTAGGGAACCCTGGGGCTGTGGGGTAGATGGCAGAGCTCACACACCCGGGACCTCGATGCTCCAGCTGCTCTTGATCACAGCACTTCAGAGCCAGAAGGCTCCCTGGACTTCTGTCATTCCCAAAAGGGTTGCCAAGCCTGGGAAGAGTCAGACTCCGGCCCTGAGGGCCCCCAGTGGGTGGCAGCAAGGGGCACTGGCTTCTCGGCACAGGCACAGCCACCTTCTGCAGGGCTCTGCAGCCCCCGGGCGGGAGACTGTAGGGAGCCGGGCGGAGCAGTGATGCTGACTAGGCCCCAGGAGGCAGGCAGTGAGGGAGGAAAGCTAGACAAGAGAGGGAGAGAAGAGGGCAGGGGTGGGGGTTGCAAGGACAGCGAAGGGCTGAAGCTTGTGGTTAGGCGCTGAGATGGGGGGGATTAAGCAAGCAGCTTTTGGGGTAACAGTTCCAGAAACTACTAGACTTTTTAAGGTTTTCTACAAAGGATTTTAAGGTTTGGGGAATGGGCTGGGGGAGAGACCCAGGGGTCCACAGTGGTCAGGAAGAGACAGTGGGAGCAAGGAGAGAGGAATGGCTTCTCCTGGCTGCACAGAGGAGTGTGTGTGTGTGAGGCGTGGCACACTCGGGGGGGCCCAGGCCTCGGGGAAGGGTGGAAGCAAAGGTGCTTATTAATTTCAAGGCAGCAGGAAGGGGCGGAGCCCACCCATAGGACACACCCTCTGGGTGCTGGCCCGGGGGCAGACAGGGTGGCAAGAATGGTTGAACGGACTCAGCTGCAGGCCACAGCAAAGCCAGGTCATAAGTGGAAAGCCAGCCAGAAAAACTGGGGAGAGGTCACAGGCTTGGTTCAAGAAAAATGGGTGAGGGTTACCACCAGGAAGAGCAGCAGATGAAGGGGTTCGCAGAGGAGGGTGGGTGCAGTTCTGGGGCCCCATGCAACCACGGGTGAGCAGCCAGGCCTCAGGCCCTGTGAAGACTGGTATGAGCGAGCAGGGCCCAGTGCTGCAGGACCCTGGGCAGGCCGGCAGGAGAGGGACCTGGATTGCAGCCATGGTGAGAGCGGAAGGACCACTGACAGCCTGGAATAATTGGGTATGGCCCTGGGTCAGAGTGGGACCCACACGATGCCCAGTGACTGAGTCCACCTGGGCTTGACGGTGGGTGGGCCCAGGGGTCCCACTCTGGGACTTCCTGGGGCCCTACTGAAGAGTGGTAGGAAGCCCTCCAACCCAGCCCACGCTATTGGGCTCAGCCACAGAGTAAACACGCCCGTGTTGAAACAGATCCCAGGGCTCTGCTTCTGAACCAGCAGAGCCAAACAGGAAGGCTGGTGTTTGGTAAGAAGGCAGACAGACCACTCACTGTCTTTCTGCTGTTTCTCAAGAGCCTGGAGAACCACGAGCTCTCTCAGCAGCCAGCCCTTCCAAAGGTGACAGTGTCAGCGTGGCAATGTGGCGCAGGCACCCATGGTTTACAGGTTTGCAGGGAACTCGCATCACTCTCTCAAGCTGCTAAAATAAGACTTTCTCTCAGAAACACGCCTGAGCTGAAGAAGCTTACACTGTGCTACAGAGACAACTGGAAACTTTCTGGCTGTGTGTGGAACCCCTTCCTTTCCTGCCAGCCCAGGGACTTCACCCAGGCCACACGCCTGCCTTGCAGACCCAGCCTCGCCCGGTGCAGCAGCCCCTGGCCCTCCAGGCACTCACCTCCCTTACCTTCAGGGCTGCAGGAGCTGCGAGCAAGGAGGGGAGCTGAGGGAGAGGCTCCCATCACCATCTCTCCTCTGAGCCCAATGCCTGCCTCCCTGCCTGATGCACCGACAGGCAGAGAGGGAACGGACCACACTGCAGTCCCATTCACTTCTGTCCTCTTCTCTCTCAAGTCCCGGGCCGCCCCAAGCCTCGATGGTCCCTGCGCCCACGCTGCAGTGCGCTGACCAAGGCACTCAGGGCCAGGAGCAGCCCAGGGCCCCAGGCGCACCCTTTTGTTTAGGAGGGAGGCAAGGTCCTGAGGTGCTGGGCGTGAGTCCCACCTCACCAGCACCTCCGAGACGGGGTCTGCGGGTCCTCATGGGTGGCGTCCCACATCGGGCCACAGAAGGCAGGAACAGATTTTTCCAGGTCACGCAGAGCTGTGACGGGCCCATCCTAAACCCACCCCAAGAAAAAGCGTGCCTTGTTTTGTCTCTAACTCGAAAGGATGTACTGGGCACCAGCTGCATGTTAGGCAGGCAGAGACCCTGCCCTCGAGGAGCTCAACAGACCAGAGGCGAACACACGAACACGTTAAACCCCACAGGACTGGGCTGTGAGGCTGGACAGGTCAGGGTGGGGAGTGAGAAAAACATTGACTTCAACATCTCTGTAAATAGGGGCAGCCACACTCGTGCACGCCCGTTTCCGAAAACATGACAGACCAGGTCACGAGACGACAGAGGGGGGCTGGGGAACGACCCGCACACACAGCCTCTGCTCGCGGAGAGCTGGTGTTCCAGAGGCCGGGGCCAGTGCCAGGCACACCCGGCGGTGTCTGTATTTGAGGGGTTCGACTTCCTGCATCTCTGGGGCTACAAAGTAGACCCCAACGTGGAGGCAGGCGTCGGCCTAGGCCACACTGCGTCAGAGATGGGGAGGCCATCCGCTGGGAGGGGCGGGAGAGACGGGAGAGACGGGAGAGATCCTGAAACAGAGTGAAGGAGTCTGGACTTGACCCTCCAGTGGACGTGAGTGTTTGGGAAGGGACTGCCCCCGCCAATAGCGTCCAGGCGAGCTGCGTGGGGACAAGGGCGGGAGAACGCACTCATGGGAACTCTTGAAACTGCAACAACTATCTTGCAGAACAAGTGACTCCGTGGCCACGGCATCACTGGCAGCAGGCTTGTTGGGCCACATTATTTCCTCTCTGGTGCTTCGTTTTATTCATCTGCAAAACGAGAACAATAATGGCACCTGCTCCCTGACAGGAGGTTAAATAACACACAGGAAGCCCTCAGAGCAGCCCCTGGCCCATGGCGTGTGCTCGCAAAGTGTTAGCTTTTGTGATCATTTCTTCCTTTCTGGGGGGCTCCTATCAGATGTAAATGCATTCTCAGTGGTTTTTATGTATCACCTTTCACTTTGCCTGTGGAAAAAAGATGTAAATTATTTCAAAATAGACACCCACGTACTTTAAAATAATTGAGTTTATTTAAAAAATCAGCACAGTAAAAACTGCCACACAAATAACTTTAAGCTATCAATTCAAATGTACACATGTAATTCCTCAAATTAAAAACCTTTCATTTCCCTTGAAGCCTTTTTAATTCTGAGGTTACTTGTAAGATTAATCAAGAAAACATTAACATTAAACAAAAATCAATTCTGTACAAACAAGTGGGATCAAGCAGCTCACACTATCACCTGGAACCCGAGTGCTTCAGAGAAAACCCCGAAGACAGCGCTGCACACGTGCAGTGCAGACCCACCTCGCCCTCTTCACAGTCCTCGCTCCGCGCCTCGGGCAAAAAGAATGGAGGGAACCTTTTCCCGAGCAGTGGCCTTATTTTTTTTTTACACATTCCTTTTTCTGGACTCAGAGTTTTAGAAAACAGAGGCTTTTTCTCTTGGTAAAATGTAACTGAGAAGGTGTTCGAGGACCAAGCTGTTATGGCTCTGCAGTCTCTTCCTTTCTCTGGAGACCCAGAGGTCCTCGCACCAACCACGCCTGTTCTCTCCGCCGCACAAGGCCCCTGGGCGCTCTGGGGATGTAGGAATGCCTGCCTTCACCAAGGATGGGAGTGAGCACTGCACCTTCGACCGGGCACAAGGGAAGGCCAGCCCACTCTGAATTCAGAGAAAGTTCGTATATCAGAGTGTGCCGTCTGGGAACAAGAGACTCAGGGAACTGAAGTGTGAAAATGACCTGCGCAGCTAACATCGGAGGAACGTGTTTGCTGTTGTGCACGGGTAACTGGCGGCTCTCTCCCTAGTGAGCTGCCGCAGAGCAGAGGTCTGGCCTCTGACCTAGCCCTGGGCTCGCCCCCACCCATGACCCAGTGGGCACAGGTGTCCTGTGAGAAATGGCCACAGACGGAAACCTGAGCCAGGTGATGGGACCAGACAGCAACTGCACTTTTGCTGGCATGGATGCCACCCATAAGTCCATGTGTGAAATATACCTATCAGTTACTTTTCGAAACATTCTCATTACCACACTGAGCCAATGGGTGAATGTAATACATCAGTCAATAGGAAAAGTATACATCCAGAAAATATTATATTGTCATAATCAATTCATGTCTCCTGGGCACTAATAAACAGACCACATCCCAACGCAAACCACTGACCGAACCACTGCAGTAACAGTGGGAAGGGGCAGCGAGGATGAACTCACTGGCACATCCTTCCCGTCCGCGGGCAGCAACTCTGGGCCTGGGTCCACAGCTGAGGATAAAGATTTGCTGTGGCCCAAAACCAAGGTGGTGCCGTCACTTCTCCAGTGTGACACGAGGGCCCCTGTGTCGGGAGCCTTTATGCAGCAGCCTCCAAGAATTCTGAGGTGAACACAGCTTCTGCGTAATCTTCACACACATCCTGAAGTTCAGCAGTCACGGACCCCAGAGCTTCATCTAGCAGCTCTTCTGAAAAACTGCAAGAAAACCACACAGCTGAAGGCACAGAGCCGAATGTGGGGGCCTGGGGAGCTCACCAAGTTAGTTCTAAGATTTCAACACAGGAAATTCAAAAGGCCAAGAATAGCCAAGGCACCTCTGAAGGACAATCAGGTGAGGGGCCTTGCTTTCCTGGATGTTTAGAAGGTGTCACTTAGATCCCAAGGTCCGGCTACAGGGACAGAGGGATGGGCGGCAGTGCTTCCCGGATGGACCCCCACAGGAGACGGCTGAGACCAGCGGTGACCAGAAACTAACTAGCTGCTAGCTGCACCCCAGGCCCACCCAGAGCCACCACTGACACTGCCTGACTGCCCGACAGAGATGGGTGCGTGCCCTCCCTGTGGGACAGGGGTCAGGAGACCCCAAATTTGTGTTCTTTCTTTACACACATGCACACACTCTTGCATGCAAAACTTTTTTCCACACTGTGTGACACTAAGTTGAAGACTTGATATCCCTCAAGTGCTTCAGTTTACACTTCCTAAAAACAAGGAGGTCCTCTTACAAACCCTAATTATAAAAACCACCGCATTAACACTGATGCAATACTATTATCTAATCTTATCTACAGACGTTGTTCACGGCTTGCCCACTGCCCAAATGACGTCCCTTTAAGAAAACTTTGCTAGTCCAGGATTCAGCCCAGGGTCCCGTGTGGAATGGGGTCGTCAGGTCCCTTTAGCGTCCTTTGATCTGAAACCATACTTCAGCTTTTGTTCTGAAGGACCTGACTTTTTAAAGAATAAAGGCCTTTTCTGCAGCAGGTCCCCCGACTGGGGTTTGCCTGATGTTTCCTTGTGGTCAGACTGAGGTTACACTTGGGGGGAACAGATGCCACAGAAGGGATGTTGTGTCTCCTGGGCGCTTCTATTTATCTTATTCCTGGGGAGGGTTCACTTCTGTCCCGTGCCCACAGCGACGCCGGCCACGTTTCTCCAGTGTGAAGTTACTGTTTCCCCTCGTCCTTAGTACGAATGCTGTGGGGAGGCGCCGTATGACTGTGCCAACATCTGATTTCTCACCAAACTTACCTGAGTCCATTATCACAGGGTTGCCAACGTGGGTGGATTTTTTAATTGTACAGTATTGTTTATGCTGTTACAGTTGCCCTTGCTTTTCCCCCTCTGCGCCCCCCAACCCTGCCCCTGGCAATCCCCACACCACCATCCTCGTCAACACTGACACTCTAACGCCACCCCCCACTCCTTCCCCATCTCACAGGTGGCACTCTGCCAGGACAAAGCCCCTTCCCTTCACCGTTTGTGTACTCATTCACTCACTCATCCACTCACTCATCCACTCATACAGGCCTGGCCTGGTGGATTCTTTCTGCATTCAATAGTTTGTAATTCATTACTATTATTACTTATTTTGACACTCGAAACGCCCCAGACTGACCAGGAGGAGCCCCTTCCAGCTGGCCCACAGGACCCCGGACACGTCCCCATCCTTCCCCGAACGCATCCTTCTGGGCACCACCACATGCTGCTTCTGGCTCATCTCACATGTTCCCAGCCCTGGTCTCGGAACCAGCCATTGCTCCGGGGAGCCCTGGTACTTCTTCAGGGAAAACAGAACTTAGAAACAAAGACCTGGGTGCTCAGCGTGCTCACGCCCCTGGTGCCACTGTCGGGGGGACGCAGACAGACCCATGCTGCACACGTTCCACGTGACATGTCTCCAGCTGCCCACAACTATAAAGTCCTAATGCCTCCACCCCGACTCAACAGATGACTCATTCCAGCCTTCCCCAGAAACCTGGCTGTCGTTATCCACAATCTCCTTACTTGACCAATCCTACAGTGTAGACAACGTAGTTTTAGCATCGTTCCCATGCCACTGTGTAAAAGAAACCTACTCCCTAGAATCCAGTATGAGTTTAAAGACTTTTTCATCTTTAGCTGGAGGGCACAGAGTCAAAATACCACGTCCAAAAGTTACTTAGAGTACTCTGCATCTGTCCCCGCTTCCCTTAGTGCGATTTTGCGATTGCCCAGCCCACACCCTCCTCTCCTGCCCTTCCCCCATTCTCGTCCCAGCGGTCGATCGGTGGTCGGTCGGTGGTCGGGGTCTCCTGGCAATCTTCTGTCTTTTATTTGGCATGTTTAGTTCTCTTTTGTTTAATGTAATTCTGATGTATTTGAGCTTCTGCTACTAAATCACTAAATATTTCCTATTCGTCTCTTTGTTCTCTCTTCTCTCTTGCCCTCTTTGGATTTGTAATTTTTCATTACATTCTTTTCTCACCATTAACTTGGATATGATACTCTCACTATTCTCTAAGCGGGCCACCCTAGATTGTACTGAGAATCCCTGACTTAAAGTCTAACATTATTTGGCATTCTTGCCACTTTCCCAGAAAATGCAAAAACCTTAGAACACTACTAACTCTATCATCTCCCTGGCTTATAGGCTACTGTTATTGTCTATTTTAAATGTACACACACACCCAGAAGACATCAGTTTATCGTCTTACACAGTCAATATTCATTTACCTACATACTGACCTTTTAAAAATTCACACCTTCCAATATTTCTTGACCTTCATCTGTGACTGTGTTTGCTCTGGCTAAAAAATATCCTTTTAATATTCCCTATCATAAAGGTCTACTGAAAATAAATTTTCTCAGTTTTGTTTGGAGCCTCTCATCTTCCTTCTTGGAATGTATTTCACTGGGCTTAGAAGTCCGGATTCGAGCTTCTTTCTTTCAGAACATTAAAAGATATGCTAGATCTTCCACCTTCTACTGTTTCTCTTCTTTTCTTCCTCCAGCTGATTTTTAAAATCTTTTCCTCTTTATCTTTGATTTTTCAACATTACTACACTATGTCTATATATAGATTCATTTTTATTTTTCTTGCTTGGGCCTAATTTTAGAGCTTCCTGGATCTACGGCTTGACGCCCTTGTTATTCCAATGTCTGTGACTGACAGGCCCAGCATCTGGGGCCGCTGTGGGTCTGTGCTCGCTATTGTCCTCTCTCTCTCTGCCTGGTTATTGTGTGCTGCATACCAGACACTGTATTTACAAATTCTAAAAATAAGTTAAGTCCTAAGACGACGTTCTATCCCTCAGACAAAATGTATGCTAGCTTCTGCCTGGGGCTGGGGGGAGTAATCTAGGATTGCCTCAATCCAGTCTGAGGGCTAGGAGAACCTGGAGCTGAGTGGAGTCCCTGAGGGGGCCTGCTGGCATCCAGGCCACCCTTCCTGCAGGGCCCCAGTCAAAAGTGATGCAAGCTCACCAGGGCAATCCCCGGCCCCGGCAAGCCTGAGCTCCCACCTCTGTCCTCTAATTTGAAAACACCACAGAACTGACACTCCAGTGCCCAGCGAGGGGCTAACCTCCCTGGGGCTGTCTTCTCCAGGATCCTGCCCCAGTTATTCTTCCTTACCTAGTTAACTGCCTGACGCCTTCCAGCGTGTGTTTTATTTTTGATCTAGCTTTTCTATTAAGAGTTACCCTCAGTGGGAACAGTGGTCCCAATTACTATGTGCGTCATCAAGTGATTACCTTGTTTTTGCATTTGCTTTGTTTTCCATATCCATCACTAATTCTTCTATATTATGAAATCATCACACTATGAAATGCCAAAGCACTCCTAATACAGTCAAAAACATTCATTAAGCGACGTATCTGCTTTTATCCTTCCTTTTAACCTTCCTCACCCTGCCTCCCCTCCCTGGAAACCGTCCCTCCTGGAGCGCTCTCTCTGTCCTCCTACTCCAATCTGGACTAGCTGCGCTCTGTGCTCACAGGAAAGCTCTTCTCTTGGAAACAGCTCTGGCCCTTCCCCTGCAGTGCCGCGCTGGGGCCCCCCCCGCCCCCCGCCCCTTCTGAGCTGCACCTCCCTCACTGCCAGCGCATCCTCCTGCAGCTGGCTGAGGAAGTGCATGGGAACTCGGTTTTTGGACACTTTGCACACCTAAAGATGTCTTCATTTTACTCTCATATTCGATTAATAATTTAGCTGGGCACAGAATTCTAGGTTAAATTTTGGCAATATGCTCTAATACCGCTGAGCGGTGTTGCTACTGAAAACAATTTGCCGTTCTCCTTTCTGACTGGCACATGCCCCGTTGTAACTCTCTGGGGCTCTTCACATGTTTTCCTTGCACAGGAATGTCTGAAGTCCCTTTTCAAAGTGATGCGCCATGGTGAGCTCTGTTCTGTCTGCTTATTCATGTATTTATTCCCTCACTGACTTGCAGTGGACAGTGATGAACTCTTCCAATCTAGAGACCAACAATCTTCTGGAAAAATTTCTTAGTGTTTCTTTGGTAACTGCCTATTCCCCATCCCTCCATTTTCCCTGTTCTCACACTCTGGAACTCCTATTATTTAGATGTCAGACAGTATAAACCGAAACTGTAGGCCTAAAGCCCAGTTCCAAAGCCGATGGTGTCTGGGAGCAGCACCTTCAGGAGGTGAAGAGGGCATGAATGGGATCAGTGCCCTTAGAAAAGAGACCGAGAAAGCGTCTCTCTCTCTCTCTCTCTGACACGTGAGAGCACAAAAACATCTGTCTGCAGAACACGACACAGGCCCCTGATCTCCCAGCCTTCGAACTGCAGGGAGCGGGTGTCCTTTAAGCCGCCCAGCCTAGGGTGTTTGTTACGGCAGCCTGAGCTAAGACACTGGATCTCTTAGAATAATCCTCTAATTTTTAAAATCTTTTCTTCAGTATTACCTATCCTTGCTTGTTTTTTTTTTAAATTCTACTTCCTGAGATCTCTTTTTCTCTAAACTCTTCTAGTAAATTTATTTCAGCCATATTTTAATTTCTAAGAACTCTTGTTTTATTCTTTGAAAGTTCATTTTTACAATATCCCGTTATTGCTTCCTGATGTAATAAATTCACATAGTTCTCTGAGAATATTAATTTTAACTTGTTTTTAATGTTTTATTCTCTTCCTGCATTGTCTGGGCTTCCTCTGAGATCTTTTCACCTGTGTAAGAGGCTCCGCGTCTCCCAGGGCTTTCACCAAACGCCTGGTCGCCTGCCCTATCTGCTCTGCTCCAGGAGGAGAGTGTCGGCCGAGCCCCGTGTTCCGACTTCACTGTACCTGTGCCTTACAGGCGGTTGCTGCTTCTCATCCCTCAGTTTTACAAGGTTCTGCATAAATCAGCGTGGCTCTTGGTTTCCCCGCATCAGGCACTTGTCTCTCTGGTCTGCAAAGTCGTTTGCTATTTATTTGCCTACCTGTTTAATGGCTTCCAAAATTTTATTATTATTTCTTGTTTGCTGTCATTTATAGGTTCATGCCTTTTATTTATTCTTTTAGTGACATACAGTTGGGGAAAGACAAAGGAGATAAAGATAAATATATATGTTCAATTTGTCTTTTTCAACCAGAAGTCTCTTGATTTGTTTTTCAAACCAGGAGTCCTTAATTTTGCTTTTATCGAAAGCATCACCTTAAGTTTTTCTTTTCACAACCACTCTTTTATTTACATCCAGTTTATAGCATTTTCTCCCCTCACTCACTGAAACAGTGCTTTTCTTAAGATGTAAAGAGAAATGGAGGCATTATAGAAAAAAAGCATCTAAGTTCTCCCTCACACAAAATGCTATGAAGTGAAATCAACTGTTTCAGGATTTTTCAAGATGTGATCAACACAGCTCTCGTCTGTAACACTCCAATCAGAAACGAGAATGAGAGACATCCAAAATAGCTAGAGAATTCAGATGCACTGCCAGGCGAGGGCCAAAGCAGAGCAGAGAACATCTGTAACAGTCCAGGCATATTTTAACAGCTCTGCCCTCTACACTTCAACCTATTATTCTTCATACGCAGAGAGAGCTTTCCCTCCATCAACAAAACAACTACGAACACAGTGTACCACTTACGGAGTGGTGACAACACACAAGGAACGAACACTCTATCCCTCCTGACATGTCCCAGTTGGCCTGACCACCCAGACAGGTGCGGGGACAGCGAGCGGCGTCCTGCAGGACCGCGTGTTCACACACAGAAGCAAGCCTCGCTCCCCTACGCTCCTCCCCCACAAAGGAAAGGTGCATCTCTTTGAAGGCTACTCCACTTCCAAAGAGAAGTTTTAGGACTTCAGGTTAAGCCTGAGGGATTAAATATAAGTGGTTATCTCCAATCCCACCCAGAACTCCACTAAAATTAAAGGAAACAGACCAACAAGTACATGAATCTACAAGGAGAAAAATAAGACAATGGTAGATGAGAAATGTCCAGGATTTTCAGAAAGTAAAGTGCACACAGAAGAATCATAGCTGCTTCAGCAGCACAGAGAGGTCCAAAGGAAGCTGGAACCTAGGAGTCTGTCAAGGGAGAAGCCGAGGAAAGCAAGCTGATGTGTCTCACAAAATTTGGGACGCAAGAGCGCCTGAGCATCCCGAAGGTGGGGTGAGGTCTGGGTAGAAAACGAGGGCACAGGCTGAACATCTGCAGAACGAGCAGCGAGATGGATAGGTCTCCACCCCTGCTCCTGGCAGCTAAGTGACAACTGCTTCTTCACCCCCACAAATGAAGGGAGGTGTATATTCTTTGTAAAAAATAAACCCGTAATTTTAAACTCAGCCAAATCATCCATCAAATATGAAGACAGAATAAAGATACTTTGCAATACGTAAATCTCAAAAAATTTCCTCCAATACACAAAACAGGATATGCTCCATCAAAATCAGAGTGAATCAAGAAAGAGGAAGGTGAGGACAGCAGAAAACAAAGACTCTGACATGGGAGGGAAGCCATCTAAGACCCAGGGCGGGGAAGAAGGGGGTCCCAGAGTGAGAGCTGAGGCAGATGCGGCAAGCTGCCCAGCCAGGCAGGTGCGGGGGGGAAAGAGGGTCTCACGGAGAGGAGTGGGGGTTGGGGGTGAGAGACAGAGGCAAAACTGCACTGAGATGCTGGCTAGTGTGTGGGCAAAATTAGTAACTATGAAAGAATAAGCAAATAAAAAGAGGTAATCATTAACTCCTGGGATATGTTTAAAACTTGGTTGAGAGAAAAATGGAATCACAGTATACAATATGGCTCAATGATGAAAAAAGTAGTTGCATGTTTATAATAAAGTGATGCCCACGAGGAATTTAAACTTGGGCCCAATATAAAACGAATTTATACCTTCCCTTTTTTTTTTAAAGAGAGAGGGGAATGGAGGGAGAGAGGCATTGATCCATTGCCTCTCTTACCCAACCAGGCAGAAACTGAACCTGCGACCCAGGCATGTGTCCTGACTGGGAATCAAACTGGCGACTTTTTGCTTTGTGGGGATCCCCTTCCCCCAACCAACTGAGCTGCACCAGTTGGGGCTACACACATGCTTCAATGAACTACTTACATAAAAAGGTTGCCCATTCTTCCAAAAGTTAGTAGCAGCAAGACTGTGTTTCGGGACCGCACAAACAGCCTTGCCCAGGGGAGGGGACCCTCGGCAGGAGCGGGGCTGAACAAAGCCTGGCCAAGTCCACAGGCCCACTCCTGTGTGCAAGTCTGTCCTGGCTGTGGAGCTGTCACAGTCACAACTTCATCTGACCCCACACAATCCGGTGTCCTCTGACGGACGCAGCCCTCACTACAAGCAACAGGACATCCTCCCTGACTTGCACAGCGTGTCTCTGCTGAGGAGGGGGTGCCGGACGTCCCTCTGGGTGCCAGCACCCAGGCTGTTTTACAGTCTCTTCTGGCTGAAGAAAGGCTGTCAGCAGAGAAACCTGGCCACAGGCCGAGAGCAACCACCGGAACTCCAAGGCCTGACAGCACGGCGCGAGGCCTTGGCCAGGCCGCCCTCTGGGAACACTTGGCGCTTGTTCCTACTCAGAGGCACAGGACATTTCACTGACCTTTCGGCAATCAGCCACGGATTGAAGGAGCCCACAGCCTCGTGAGAGACCATCCGGAGGTACCGCTCGTACCGGCTGCAGTAGTCCCCGATGCGGCGCCGCATACCAGCTGGGACAAAGAGTGCAGCTTGACCCTTTCTCGGTTCGGAATCTTCTGGAACGGCGACAAGGGGAGGCTCTCTTTTCTCCAGCTTCTCTGTTCCCACACTTTCATCCAGGGAACTAAGAGCAACAAAAATGACAACATTCAAAATCACCTGTAAGCAAGGTACTTGGTCCATTCACCCAACGGCTTGCTAACCGAAGGCTTACAAAACTCAGGCCATCAGCACTCGTTTCCCCATCTTGCTGGACTGACCCTCCACAGGGCAGGAGCTCCGTGGAGCTCACAGACGAAAGAATTCTGAATGCAAATCTTGCAGTAGTTATCAGTATAACCACAAGTGCCCATGTGATGCTTCCAACAATAAAAACCAGGCTCCTTAAGATGCTATACACTCCCTACCCACCTTATAAACATGCTGCTTTACTGAGCCATCCTGGCGTTTGGCAAGATCTTGCTCAAAAGAATTTCTCTGTCTTGTGCCAATTGAAAGAATATGAAACTCAACAGCATCAAAGGCAACAACTACAGTGAAATCAGAGTCTTGTGGCTCCTTACTTGCCATTCCAGGGCCTTTCTAACACGATGTTCACGTCTGAGTCTCTGCCGGCTGCCGTCTTTGTGATCCTGATTGGATGAGGAGAAAGGGGACTTGCACTGACTGCCGGGAATGTCTGGTCTAGAAAGGGAGGAGCACAACGTGACCGTCCACAAAGAGAAGCCAACGCACCTACCAGAGCTGTCCCGTGGCCCACAACCAGTGAGGAAGTCGCAGGCACACCTCTTAAGCACGATGGGTTTAGTCAGCGGTGCAATGAAAAAAGTTTCGGTTTTTCTTGAGAAGGTGAATTTAAAAGTTACAAAGACACAAGCCAATGATGTGTCACTTTTAAGAAATGAACTCCTTTTAAGCCTGCACTAGCTCTGAGGAAGCGTGTGTGAAGCCCCAGGCTGTGCAGGCTCCATTAGGATCCAGCCACCCATTCAAGGAATCATAAGCAGCTGAGTCTGTTTTTTAACCTTTAAATGGTTTGATTAGGGAGAAAGAAAAAAACCACTTACACCTGAACACTTAATTAGCTGATTTAATTTGTCGACGGGCATTGCTGGAGAATCTGCATGACGATAGTCAAAACATTAACTTATTAACTGTATCTTGCAGGCTTGACAGGTCTTTTGAGTTCCAGGTTATTTATAATTTTAAGTGCACTTCAAGTGTGGGAAGACTTGTCCTTCTCTTAGGCAAGGAGAATCTTTAAATCAAATAACTTTCTCTACTCATTTATATGCTTGTGATTTCTTACTGTTAGAAATACAACCTAAGTCAGTTTCTGTAAAAATATTGCTGAGTACAATCAATTTTCAACTGTTCACAGAAAGAGAGGATATACAGATTAGAACCTGCACAATTCAAAAATCACTTTAAATGGGGTTTTGTGAGGCAATTGAACATACCATCTGAACAACTAGAAACATAGGATTCTTACTAGGATTTCATGACTCTGGAACTGAAGTGTCCAAAAATTCATTTTAGTACCTAGTGCTCTAAAGGGCTTTTTTTTTTTCAATGTATACTTAGACTTTCTGCACTGTCACAGATGGTGACTAATCATTCAACTTGCCCTTGAAAAAAGAGAACACTGAGTCCTAGGTGAGACTATCTTTTGTGTGATGCACCCTAACATTGTGAGCAGTGGCCAAACCATCAGTGGAGCGAGCTGCCTTTCAGCACGCCCCTTTGCTCTGCTTCCATACAAAATGATGCTAAAATGCCCCCTGATTCACCCACGCCAGCCCATGCTAGGTGCAGTGGGAAATGCAAGTGGATATGACAAACTCTCTGGCCTCAAAGAATCTGTGGCCAAGCTCCTCACATACAGGATATGCCAGAAGTCTAGGGGAGTTCGCGGGCGAGGAAGGGAGCCAAGTTCCAGGACAGGAAAGCCAAGAAGAGCACTGCAGGCACAGAACACACAGGGTCACACGAGCCAGGCCCTGGAGAAGGGTTCTGGCTAGTGTTTTAAAGATGAAAATGGACTGGGATCAAGGTTGGGGGAAAGAGTGAACACTATGAGTGAAGAATACAGTGTTTGAAAGTCACAGAGAACAAGAAAGGAATGGATCAGTATTGTGTTTAGAAGGCTCAATCTTCTGGGAAAATTGGACACAGAGAACACTTTTTCTGAGACAATACCCGACACAGGATTTTAAAAGAAGTATCCGTGACACAGGCCACTGCTGTAAATCACCTATACCTACATTTCCTTTACATGCCTTAGTACTCCTCGTACTGAGATTTCTTCAGAGGTAATGTTTAACCGCACTTCACTCACCTCCTTTCACTGAGGAAGGGAATTACCGATAAGCCTGAGTCAAACAGAATTTGAGTAACACTTCCCAGCCAAAATTGTGATTGTAGCCTAGCAACTGCAGCCAAAATGCGTATGTATGAATTTTTACAAGTGGAAGAGAAAAGTGAAAGTCTTTCCCACAAATGGTATGAGACCAAACAGATATCCATTAAGGGGGAAAAAATGAGCTGTAACCTCTACTTCAAACCATAGGCAAACTTTTATTCAAGATGAATCACAGACCTACACATAAAAGCAAAAACCATAAAAGTCCCTAGGAGAAAACAAGAGACTCATTTCAAATTGGGAGTAGGCAAAGGTTTCTTAGATCAAAGAAAGCGAAAATGACCGGAGAAAAATTCGAAGTTCGACTTCATAAAAATTAAGTGTCTGCCGTAATGAAACACATTTGATAAAGATAATTAGGTGAGGGGAAACCGTGTGTGCGGACTGCCAAGTGGAGGCAGGGCTTCTGTTCAGGTGATGAAAATGTTCTGGAAGTAGATGGCAGTGATGTCTGCACAACTCCATAAATACACTAAAAATTCGCATACCACAGTACAGTGTACAAGGGGGAATTTTATGGTATGTGAATTATACCTTAATAAAGCGGTTACTTAAAAAGACGAAGTACTTAAAAAGCCTGGGGACAAAAAATGTGCACCCAGAATGCATGAAGAATTCCCACAACCCACACATTCTGAAGAGCCACACAGGAGCACTGGGGCTGCGGAGGGAACCGTAAGGAAGCGTGAGGACTGCAGGAAGTCCTGTGCTCATTCAATCCTTATGAAACACATGAGAACCCACAGCGGAGAGAAGAAACCCTCTGAGTGCAACAAACCGGGAAAGTCTTTCAATATTCCTTCACCTTAATAAAGATTTACTATGGCACATTGCAGAGAAGTCCATAAATGTAAGGAGTGTGGGAAAGCCCTCTGTAAGCCCTCAAAACATGCCGTACACACAAGGACCCACACTGCAGAGAGGCCCTGTAAGTGACAGGAATGCAGAAGAGGCTGCCCTAATAATCCAGGACTTAAAAGCCATCTAAAGCAGCACAGGTGAGAAAGGCCCTCAGAATGAAAGGAATGTGGAGAAAGCTTCCTTTTTCTCAAAACACCGAATGCATGAAAAGGCCATGTTGGCAGGGTGAGCTCAATAGGCCGATTCGACGTACAGGGAAGTCTTCCTTGAACTCTTACCTCACACAGAAATGGGAAAATTCACACCAGAAAGAAGGCCTGTGAAGATAAGGCCAGTGGAAAGCTTGTAACCTTCGTTCATCTCTAGTGGACATTTATTCTTACACGAGAGAGAAATCTTATGAATCTAAGGACAATGGAAAGCCTTCAGTGTTGTCTCAAACAAGAGTCCCTCTAAGAACCAACACCGCAGAGAAACCCTGGAGTAAGGACCGTGGGGAAGACCTCTTTAAATACTCGTATCCTTTTTCTCCCCTTTTAAAGGATTTTATTTATTTATTTATTTTAGACAGAGGAGAAGGAAGGGAGAAAGAAAGAGAGGAACATCACTGTGTGGCTGCTGACTGGGGATCTGGGCCCACAACCCAGGCATGTGCCCCGACTGGGAATCAAACTGGCGACCTTTTGGTTCGCAGGCCGGTGCTCAATCCACTGAGCCACACCAGCCAGGGCTAAACACTTGCATCTTAGGTTACACAGGAGACCACACCTGAGACACTAACAGATGTGAGAAGGCTTCAGTTCCAGCTCACGACTCAAGGGGCTCAAATGAGTGCATACTAGGAAACACCACGGCAGATGCCATGACTGGGCCAGTCCTGCCCCATCCTTCAGCTGGAACCCAAATTTATTACTTTCCAGTTTTTCCATTCTAATAAAACCCTGCAAAATGACAAATGTCCCTCTGCGTGCCCCTTCAGCTCTGCCACATGGATTCTGATACAGGGAGGCAGTAGCTTCGTCACGATTCTCTTACACACACGTGGTCTTGCCAACACAGAGCCCTTCTGAAACCACATGTAACTTAGATGTGGGTTAATGTACTCTCTCTATAACGCCATTTTTGTCATTTTTTTTCCTGCTGTCGTTCCTGGTCAGGATTTGACTGCTCTGTGGTCCAAGTGTGTGGTCTTCATGACGCCAACGGGGGTTCGTGTTCTGACTTTCATTTTGGCCTCAGTGTCTGGCTCCTGCCCACTGCCCAGCCACACCCATGCTTTTAGGCTTCTTTCTTCAGGTGCCACAGGCTCACTTTTCCAGATAGCACCATTTAATCTGCTTAGACGCATTTCCCAGTTCCTCTCCTCACTGAGGGTGGGACAGTGGAGAGCCCTGGCCAGGAGGACAGAACTTCTGGTGTGGACCCTGAACAGTGGTCAGGCTCCCTCTACTCTCGCTCCCTGTCGCTCTCCACAAACTGGACAACACTCCCTGAGTTTACATCAGTGACTTCAGGATCATTGGCATGAAGGTCCCGGTCCCAGTAACACAACCCTCAAAATGTGAGACTGTTCATTCCCCATTGGCATATTTGTGGGTGTCCACAGCTGCAACAGTCTGTACTTTTAAACTTATTAATGAAGCAAACACCCAGCTGGATTAACAAGGCATGTTAGGATAGATTTTTTTATAACTCAGTTAAATGCTAAATGATCAACCTAGTTTATGGCCAGTTTTAAAAAAATTGTCTCCTGTGTGTTTCAAAATACTGCATATTTCTTTGGTGTTAGGGGGGCTCAGGGTCCAGTATATGTCTGAATGGTTAAGCTTCTCGTGTGTTTTGTCATCTTCTATTGACAAGTTGTTGGACTCTTATTCTTTTACTGAGCAAGTTTATAATAAATATCCCACTCTACAAGTGGATTATAATAAATAAATAAATGAGTAGGCAGATAGGTAACTCATTAGAAAAATGTACAAAAGATCTGAATACTTCACAAGGGAAGATACATAAATGGCTAATAATCACTTGAAAATTTTCTAAACCTCACTACTGATCACAGAAATGAAATGCAGGCCACAATGAGATATCACTACACGCCCACCAGCATGGCTGTAATTAAAGGCTGACAACATCAAGGGTTAGTGAGGACATCCAGCAACAGAAACTCACTGTGGATGGGAGTGTAAAATGGTACAGCCACTTTGGGGAAAGGTTTGGCACATAGCCATCCCACAACCTGGCAAGTTTACTCTTAGGTGTTTATCCAAGAAAAATAAAAGTGTATGTCCATACAGACTATACATGAATATATTCATAGTAGATTTAGTTCTAATAACTCAAAACTAGAAACAACCACATGTAGATCCACAAGCAAATGGACAAACTAGATGTGGCACATGCATCGAAGGGAATACTACTCGGCAATGAAAAGGAATGTACTACTGATGTAAGTGTGGTAGGTGGAATAATGGCTTTGCAAGGTGTCCGCATTCCAATCACTGGAACCTGTGAATATTCTCCTCCATGGCAAGAAGAACTTTAAATTAAGAATCTTGAGATAGGGAGAGTATTCTAGATTATCAGGGTCCACCCTAAATGTAACCAAAGTGTCCTTCTAACAGGCAGTCCTGGGGAGATTTTCCCACAGGAGAGAAGGAGGTGTGACAACAGGAGCAGGCCTGGAGCAGTGCGGCCATGAGCCAAGGAATGCAGGCAGACTCAGGCGACGCCGACACCTTGATTTTAGCCCTTTAAGTCTCGATTCTGACTTCTGACCTCCAGACGTGTAAGAGAGTAAATCTGTGTTGTAAATCACTGAATCTGTGCTTTAACTGGTTACAAACTTAGCAATAGGAAACAAGTAACATAGATAAATCTATAAACCATCATGCTGAATGGAAGAAGTCTTAGACAAAGAATATACACAAGTATGATTCGATTTATATAAGATTCTAGAACAGGCAAAACTACAGTGGGGGAAAAAAGTGCAATTATCCATTTATCAAAACCCATGAAATGACACAGTTAATTTTATTATATGTAAATTTTACCTTGAAAGGAAAAGAGCCACAAATAATAAACTCTTGTTGCTGACGCATATGTTGCAACGTTCAGGGTGACATGCACTGATGTCCGCAACTCACTCTGAAACGCATGCAAAATGGGACCAGCTAATGGGTGGAGAGAGGATGGAGAAAGCCAATAAGGCAACACATTCACTGCATCTACAAGATGGACATATGAGTGTTCACTGTAGAATTCGCCCAACTTTTCTGTATGTTTGAAAATTTTCAGGATATAATGTTGGGGGAAAAAGTAAGGGGAACACTCACCATTTTTTCCTTCCTGCATCCACAGATGAGGATCAGTATATACAATTTTATTATATCTTTGGCGAACTGTCTCCTGGTATTTCTTAAAAAAAAAAAAGTGAATAAGTTAGTTTCATTACAAACCAGAGCTGATGAGAATGTCACAGTTCAGCAGATATATTTGATATTGACACATTGCCAGAAATGAGCATCTGCCAGACCAGGAAGTGGTTAGTTTATGAAGTGAGGTCTAAAATAAAATGAAGCAATTAATCTAATTAATCTAATCTAGACCAGAGTTTGCTGTGATGGTGGAAATATGTCCAATATAGTAACCACAAACGACTGACCACTTTGGCCACTTAAAAACATGAGTAGTGTGTTTAATATTAATTAATTTACATTTAAATAGCCACATTTAGCTACAAACTACCATATTGGACACTTTCGGTCTAGACAGTTTCCCCCAAGACTAGGAAACTGGTTGCAAGTCTATGATAAACTACACATCTTTAAATTTTCAAAAAGCAACAACAAAAAAATCATCTTTCCCGTAATGTTTCTATTTAGCAGCAAAGCTAAAATGAGATTTCACCACAGTGCAGTTCTGAAGAAAACAGCAGGATCTTAGAACAAGAGCGCATCCTAGCTCTGGGGGGAGTCTTTTTGAGACCTTAGCCACATCACTTACTTCCTCACTGTGTCTCAATTTCCTACTCTGAACAATGCTCCAGTTGTGTTGGGTAATGTCTGAGATTGAAAGTTCTGACAAAAGCACTCTAAAGGAGTACCGTGGAGGTGAAGGTAAACTTATCTGTGGTGTCAGGATCACGCACTAGCAGGTGGAAGAGGCAAATGAACAGCATGTACACGCTCAGGGATGGAGAAGCCCAGGGTCCTGGCGTTTTTTTGAATCACATATCAATGACATCAGGAGAAACTGACAATGATCACTTCCTGAGCTTGTGCCAGGCAGTCAGCTGCTACAGGCACAATGATACCCTACCTATTGGAGAGGGTAAGAGACCTTATCGAGACCTTACACTTGGTTGGCAGTTAAGCTAGGATTTACAAGGGGGACCTCAACCCCCACCCCCCGGAATTTCTTCATTAAAAACTGTGTACTTATTCTTACATGTTCAAACTTCAGTCACCTTTAAAGCACTCTCCATTTGATGCTATGCACCTATCGAGACACTTTTTCCACTGCTCAGAACAGCTTTTAAACTCATCTATTTTGATAGCTTTTACTGCTTCTGTCAGTTTTTGTTTCACCTCTTCCACATTGGCACGTTTCCCTTGGAGGACTTTTTTCATCCGGGGGAAAACAAACACGTTGCTCAAGGTTTGGGTGAATAGGAGGGTGGGCATGGTAGTCATGCCATTTTTGGTCAAACACTGCTGGACAATCAGCACAGTGTGGGCAGGTGCACTCCTAAATCACTCATCATGAAATGAGCAAACACATTCAGAGAGTCTTCAAAAAAAATTCACGGAAGCTGAAGGCAGCCCCTCACAAGAATGCCAGCTGGTACGCTGATACAGACGGGTCCCCAGAACACTCACCTACAGGGGCAAGACTTACTATAAGGGAGCCAGAGGATAATTCCAGTTTGGGGGGGGGTTCCCCCTCATAAAACCAGTGGTATGATCCTGAAGTCCTAAGCTACAGAAATGTGAGGAGGACCCACACTTAGCAGGGGACAGCCCCCAGTGGGCATGAGAGCCTGCAGCCCTAGAACTTACTTCCATTTCCTCCATTCGGAGCATCATGGTCTCCAGGTACGTGCTGTCGTCCAAGGTGGCTAAGGAGTCAGGCTCCAAGATCTTAGGACGAGCCCTAGCACAGAGCTCAGGAGTGGTATCTTCCAGCACGCCATCCAGCTGACAACTGTTGTTGGGTGCACCGTCAACAGAACTAGCCTGCGAAACGAGGGAGGGGGATAAAGAGGTCACACAAAAACAACAGAGGGACTTACAGAGAAGTGCTGATCACGAGCCAACTGCATGTGAGCCAACTGGTACAGTTTCTATGCTACATTAGCCCTCTCCTTATGTCAGTAAATACCAGAATCAGGAACATCAGCACACTTTTTACCACAGCCATTTAAACAGTGGTGTTAAACCAAGTGACACTAGTATTGTCTGTGTAAATTACCATTACCTGTTTTGCCAGCTGGTAAAGCAAGAATCTTCCTTGTGCCGTACTCGGAAGAATATCCAGTGTCTTACACATCACATATGCCAGAGGATGTATCTATTCTCTTTTGGCTCATGACATCACCAAAGTTCATGGTTCTTTTCTTTGCTTGAGACTTTCTACCTACAAGTGGGAAAGCTTGACCAGCCTTTCTTGAGCTTATATTCTTGACATTCACAAAGCACTTTATGATTTGCAAAGCATTTTTACATGAGTTGTATATTTTTATTCTAATATATGTCTATATATGACCCTGACACATGAGTCTATCTTGTGTGTCTATAATCCGCTCTGAAAGAGGCTTTGCAAAGAATGTCTGCTGGGGACATGTTACCACCAGGCTTTGGAATGAGACTTTCCTGGGATTAAATCCTGGGTCTACTCACTGATACATCTGCAATGGTGGGCAAGTTTACTGAACCTCTCTGGGCCTCAACCCTCTCATCTGCAACATGGAAACAATAATCTCATATATCAGACTTGTAAGGGATGTACCAGCACTTGTGTGCTGGGACACAGCACAGTGGCGGACACAAGTAAGACACTCAGTGAAGACGGCCACTGCCACAGCCAATTTTAAAAAACTTTTAACAGTTCACAGAAGAAATGGCACATGGTATTCTTGACATTCCATTTTACACATAAAAATATATGTATGTCAATTACCTAGACCAATATTATAGGTATAGCTGTTTCTAAATTTTTCTGTATTGGTTATTCAACTAATTTTTATTTCTTTAACTTTGGTTAAGATTGGTTGTTTCTTCATATCTTTATTGGCTGTCAAAAAAGACAAGGTCTAGCGTGCGGATACGGAAAGGTCACCAAAATAAGAAAGCAGCTAGCTGGGCACTGAACCAGCACATGGCACCCCTTTGCGGGGAGGTTTAACTTTGAATTGTTTGATTTGTAGCCATGTGCACATACAACTTTAAAGTTTAAAAAAGCTTGTACATTTGGGGAAAATATATAGTTCGTGTGCAAGTTCAGTTAATGGCAATGGCAGCAGCAACAGATGAATATGCTATACTGGTGCCCTTCCAGGAGCTTCGTTTTGGTGTCAGAGATCATCTTGTCTATGAGTAAATCTACTGAAAGTTGTATGTTACTTATGAAATGCAGCAGATATCCTCTCCATTTCAGAAATAAGACTTCTGAAAATTTGTGTCCAAGGTCCCACAGTCTTTTTTAAAGTTCATACAGCAAAATAAATTTTACTTCATCATGCCAACTGGAAAGAGCTTTTTTGGTTTGTCTTTGCTCAGTCATTTATAAACACCAGCTCTTGATGGTGCCGCCTCGGAAACTGCCTGCAACAGTCCCAATGCCCACCAGCAGCCCGGAGTGATAAATGCTGATAGAGTTACTTTTCTTTTTCAGTAAATTGTATTAAAGACCATTTAATGCCTACAGTGTAATCCTTACATAGAGGGCTGGTTATTCTTTTTTAAAATATATTTTTTTGATTATGCTACTATAGTTGTCCCATTTTTTTCCTCCCCCTTCCCCCACTCCGCCCTGCATCCCCCGCACCAGTATTACCCACCCTCCCACCCCCCCACCACTTCGCCTTAGTTCAGGACCACAGGTCCTACCACGTAAGTTCTTTGGCTTCTCCATTTCCCATACTATTCTTAGCCTCCCCGTCTATTTTGTACCTACCAATTATGCTTCTCATTCCCTGTACCTTTTCCCCTATTCCCATCCTCTCCCTCCCTGCTGATAACCCTCCATGCGATCTCCAGTTCTGTGATTCTGTTCCTGTTCTAGTTGTTTGCTTAGTTTGTTTTTTTGTTTCTTTGTTTTTTAGGTTCAGTTGTTGATAGTTATGAGTTTGTTGCCATGCTCACCTCACAGGCAGCACTTATAATCACTTCATTTTCTTTCTTATTAAATGCCATATGGAGTTGCCTTCTTAGATTAGATGTTAGCCTCGTTATTTTGCTGGGAGAGAAAAGTACCACTTGGTGGCTGTGCTGCACAAAACCCTAAGCCACAGCATACCCGAGTCGTAAGAGCTAAATGCAGGCTTTCCGTTTCCAGTTTTAGAAGCCTCACCTCACATGAGATTCTTTCACAAAATTTTGGTACAATAAACTTATAATCACAAAGATTATGAAAATATGCTGCAGCTAAAATACTGATTAATAATTATACTGGAGATATATTCTCAAAATCTATTCCCTTCTTCCTGCTCTTAAGGTCACTAGGCTGGGCAGAGCTTCATTCCAACTTCCCTCTAACTCTGGAACCTTCCCATGGGCTCTGAGCACATAAAGCAGTAACTTCTTTCCGCCTTCCACAAAGACTCGGTGGACGCAATCAGCACCTTCCACTCACAGCCCTGGGCAGGTAGGAACTCTATTCCCACAAGTCCTCCAGAGGCTGGACAACCACAAAATACATTGTTTTTTCCCCCTCAAATGTTATCATTTTTTCTTGGGCTACCTTTTGTCTCTGATAGGCCAATACTGGTCATTATTGGGCACTCTAAACACGCTGGCCTAACAGTAACTATTAGGCCCTAAGTATAAAGGAAATTAGGCCAGTAACGAGCAAAACTAGGCTGAATGAAAGGAAATGAGGACAGCCATCCTTCTGCTGAAGGCCACCAACATTCAGGGTTGCACAGTGCATCCACACACTGTCATCAGGAGGAGGGGAAAGGAGCCGCTAACAAAAACCTGTGGCCCTAGAGATTTCTGTGAGCTGTTTGCAAGGCAGATCTAACTCACAATGCTAAATACACACTGCAAGAATTAACGTGCCAAATGTGAAAAAGAACTTGCACTTTCTGAGTAGGATAATCTAGTGTTTGCAAAGTAATGTGTGCATCATTTTCCTTACAACCGGCAACACTGCTGCACAATAACACCACACATACCTGCTCTGCAGGCTGGGCTGTCGCTGGGCTTACTGACGGCCAATCCTTCAAATGAGTATCCGCTTCCAGAGAAGAATTGACTCTCTATTAAAACAGACAAGTGCGTTCATGAATTATACAAATTATAACCCGTATTAATACAAATGAATTCTGTAACAGAATAACTTTTGTGAGGAACCATTCATCAGCTTTAGCTACATTAGGCTTTCTGCAGTGATTAAAAGCACTCTGTCTTCATGAAAATAAATGCCATGTGTTCATCTTGGCCTTCTGCCCCCTTTCCTCCTTCAACTTTGTAAACATTGTCGGAGTAGCTGTGTGTTTTTATGCAATTACTCCACTTCTCTGTTCCACAATAAGGAGGTTGGACAATTTGGTCTGGAGGAGCCCTCTCAGTTCTATATTCCTGAGATTTCCACAGACTCTAAAAATAATTCAACATTTCTTCAACAACAGCTACAGAAACTCATGGCCTTTTCAGGGACCCGGAATGCCATTTGTCCCTTTAAGAGGATAATACTCTTCCATGGCCTCGTCTATCCACACAAACAGGCTGTTCCTATTTATAGATGCATCCACAGGGTCTGGCCATAACCTTCAGCTTCCTGCTTAGAGGATGGCACAACCTGCTGATGATGCTGTATTTAATCTCCTCTGCAAGAAAGTCCCAGTTTATGCACAGAAGTCGTGCTAACATCCCTCTCCTTTGGAAAAACAGAGCCAATCATTCCAAACCCCGAAGTGAAAGAGCACAGGATTCAAGTGGGGCAGTTAATTACACACACCACCACCGGTAGGTCTATTTGATTAAGAGTGGGAAGTGTGATCTGAACTCATCCCCCAAACTGAAGTCTCACCTCTCTACAAAGTGGGGCTTTTCTCTCTTCCTCTTGCCTTTGTCCCTAGCCCACCTCAACAGTGTGTGGTGGTCTGTGGGTGTCCACCAGGGGCCCTCACAGCGGTGCACCCACACCATGCAGCACAGTTCAGCACCGAGGGCCCAGCTGCCAGACACTCGGCCCTGCAGAGAGGGTCAGTGGGATCTCCGCAGTGGCAACTGTTTAATCTAGAACTTCCGAAAGGCAAGTAAATGAGACGAACTAGATCACCTGGGCCTTGACCAGCAGAGGCTTCAGACGCTCCAGGACTTCCTTCTCTACCTTGTCTGCTAACTGGGTGGCAGAAACACTATTTAGAAATAAAACAGAAAGTTAAAATCAAAAGCAAGAAAATATCCTATTTCGAATATTTATTCAACACCCCCCCGCAGGTGAAGGAAAAAAACAAATGATTATAAAGCCATAATGCTTCCCCAATTTTCATGCCATATGAGCCCCCCTCCAGGGATCATGTTAAAATGCAGATCTGCTTCGGCTGGTCTGACTGAGGCTTGAGATTCTGCATTTCCAACAAGCTCCCAGGTAGATGCAACACTGCTGGTCCTGGATCAAAACACCTGGAGAAGTACGTCAGGCTCTCGGTACATTTTAAAAGAGTAACGACCACCTTTAAATAACTAAAGAGGGTAGAAGACAAATAAAACTAACTGTGTTCCCTCCCCAAACTCCAAAGTACAGGGTTAAACACAAACCCACAAAGACAAGGAAAAAGTGGTGCCGGAGAGCAGAAAGCCAAAGGCAGTAACAACCAGGCTGACCTGAGAAAGCTAGATCCTTAGTCAGTGATGGGGAAAACTGAAAATCCACACCACTCACACCCCTGACTTACACCGGCACAAGGCTGGGAGTACCAGGTACGCTTAGGCCTGAAGGTGAGCTGGGAGGGGAAAGACAAGCATCATCAAAGGATGCTTGAGAAGTGAGACTCTCTCTAACTCTGTGAGAAGTCTGGCTACTCAATCTCTGGAAGGGTCTCTTGACTAAGGGATGCCAAACATAGCTGAGGCTATAGGTACCCCACCAAAAAGAGGGGTCATGTATGCATGCTGACTGCCAAGGGCTAAGACTCACAACCCTCCTCCCCGACTCAGCTCTTAGGATGCTGGCATCTAGATCCTTACCCTCCAGCTGGAAAGTCAGAAGACTCTTGTCTGAACAGCCTGACCTCCTCCTACCCCTCAAAAGGAGCAACCCAAAGACCAGCATGACGGTCCTTAGCAAAAGATCCACCCAGATGACACTAAAGCTCAAGTTCAATAACCCTTTCAGCATTAAGCCCAGAGAGTCTAGAGGATGGTACAAAACAGTCACTGCAACTCTCCTCCAAGCAGCCAGGTCTCAAAGCAGCCAGATGGGAGACCTGGTCTCCTACCTGGGCTCTAACGGAGGCTTCTTACATGATTTCAAAATCTTTTAAGCAGGCAGATAGCCAATAAACATAAAAAGTGTGACCACACCTTTAAACAAATTCAACTAGTTGTTAAAATAGCTAGATGATGGAGAACAGGCTTGCTTTATCTTTCTCTACCTCACAAATACCTATTTACCTCTGTTTTTGCGCTTTGTCCACTTCCTCAGCTTTTAATTCTTCAAGTTCCTTCAATCTTTTAGAAGTTTCTGCATCAAGCCAAGCAAGTCTAGCAGACAGGGCAAAAAGAGTTAGACCAGTTCCGCCTGGACCTGCAAGACGTGCACACCCCAGAAACAGGCAGGCACCAGGGCCCTCCAGAGTGCCAGGCCTGGCTCCACGAGGACTCAGGAGGCGACTCCATCTCCCTGGCCCCACAAGGCTCCCCAAGCAATGTTCCCAGTGAAAAGACCCTTCTGTGCTAAAGCTCTCCTAGCTGGTGAGCAGAGTAACAAAAAATGGCCCAATGAGTATTCTTTGGAAAACTAGCCATCACTAGACTTAGGGTTTCTTGTTTGACCACAAAATAAAGCTGCTGCAGTAGCTACAAGTTTAGACAAAGATATGGACCCTCAGGACAGCCTTACAGGCACAGTGAGGTCAGATACAGAGAGAAAGGGAAAGCTAACCCTGAACACCTTCACTGCGTACCGACGGGCTTTGGTTCTCTCAGTTCAGGATATGTAAACATCATCAAATTGTTTAATGGCCCATGTTCATTTTTACTTTCCCATAATTTCAAGAACACCTTCAGCCTAATAAATGCAAAGTTTAGACCTGTTTTCACTGCTGTCCTCTCAGGGGATGTTCTCACCTTTTCACCCCCTACTTAAGGCCTGTACTTTAGGTCTGTTCGTTAGGTCCTAGTTTATTTTTCATCTCTCTCCATGAAGCCTATGTTTTTGCAGCAAGAAGTATCCTGTCCCCTGTCTAAAATCTCTGTTCTTAACCCTTTAGTCTCTAGGGTCCACGTCACGCTCTGTCTGCAGCTACAGCTCACAGCAGGTCCTTCCTACTGGCCGTGGATAAGCTGGGATCTGTTTTGACCATTTTTAAGTCTCCAGAGCGCTCACAACTGTACCATATACAAAACAAGTGACTGGTACACAACTGGCACACTTACACTTTTTAAAAAATATTGTGATAATTGTGTATTTTATGTATGCATTTACAAATATTGTTAGACAAAATCCAAAGGTACCACCAAACTGCCAAAGAAGCCCACGGCATAAACAAGCTTAAAAACTCATTCAATAAGTGTGAAGTCCTTGCTCGAGCCCTCTCTTGTTAAAGCTTACTCATAATATTATGTTGTTCTGCTTTTTCTTCTTGTCTAATGCTCTTCTGTTAGTTCCACTCCTATTCTTGCTCCCTACTCTAGGGAGCTAACTCAAAGCTCAGCCCTTGACCCACAACTAAATTCTGTTTCATACTCACTCCCTTATAAACCTCACCTACCTGCATGACTAATTCAAACACTGCCTCAAAGATGACTCTAAAATGTACCTCTGCTAATCTTTTTTCCTCCAACTTCAATCTTAGATCTTAAAATACCTGCTGCTTAGCAACCAGAATAACATACCACCAGGGGCAGACTGCCTGGGTTCAAATCCCAGCTTTGGTCACTGACTAATAGTGTGCTCATGGGTCAATTACTTAACATCTTTTGCTCCAGGTGCTTCCTTTGAAATATGGGGGCGATAACAACAGTATCTACTTCACAGGGTTATAATGATTAAGAGAGTGAATATATGTAAAGCACTTGACACACACACATATAATTTTTGAATGAATAAAATAAGAAGGAATAGAAAAGAGGACCACTGTCTAAGCTGCATAGTTTGACAGAAAATGTTAATAATTTACATTTTAAATAACTAACTCTATACACAGGAAAGAAAAGAACGTTCAATTCAGAATCTATGCGAAAGGGGCCCTCACATTTTCAAAGATATGAAAACCCAGCACAAACCTAGTTGCTTCGTGCCCAATAGCACCTGTCACTTTACTTTCCTCTTGAGTACTTTCCTGCTGGACAGGCTGCTCTTTTGTGGCATCTTTGGGGCTAGATTTCACCTTTAGCCATGCAGCACTGCAAGAGATGGAAAAGTACATCTCTGTAATCATTCGCTCTACACCCAATGACTCACTGAAAGGTGCCAGCTCAGGGATGATGAAAGCACTAAACCAGTGTTCATCTCCAGCCCACGGGGCCCTAAAGTGGAAGCTGAATGTAAAGAAGAGGGAGATCCCTCCAGGATTTGGGCTTAGTGTTAAAGGAGAGAAGTTCTTCTTTTGTTTCATAGAAGCAATCACTAATTCAAATGGGAAAACAAAAGTCGATTACAGAATAATGGATAAACTTCAACAAAACCCTGTTATAATATACAGATTTGGGTCACTAATTACATTCCACGTTACAAAGCAACTCCGTACCTTTATCAGGCCTAACACAGCACCTTGAACCTGGAAGCCTCACCCACCACACACACACTCTAGCAGACAGTCCGCTGCATATCTGGTTGCAATATAAACTTCAGCTAATTGGTGCTTACCAACTGAATCCACGCCTCTACACTAGCATGTATAAAAATAGAGAATTCAGAGGAAATAAAAATGGAAAAGCCCATTATGAGAGCGGAAGACCTGTCATCAGTCCCAGCTCTGCTACATGAGCAAGCATTACATTCTCTAGACATTGTTTCTTCGACTTTAAATTATGAGTTGATGGGTAAAGCAAAACCATTTATTCAGAATCATCCAAAGTCATAAGGGGAATCCATTCTACCGGCTTCTTACCCTGTACCTGCCAGCCTCCCAAAGGCAGGCGCCGAGAGTCCCTTAACTTCTCCCTCGTCTGCTCCCCACACTACTGCTTTTTGCTGCCTTCCATTTACTGACCTTCTGGTCCTTCCCATTCAATTCCCCGAAGACTATTTCCTCCCAACTGGACCCCAATGCCCCTGGAGGTCAATACATTCTCTCTCGTTCTGCGGAATGGTGGCTCCTCGTTCTCCAGGTGCTATGAACGAGGGTGACACAGCAACAATGTCAGCTTACCCTAACTGTCCCCTGCAGTCAGAACAGTGTCTGAGATTTGTTTGGTTGTATAATTCATAATTAAATCAAATTAGAATTAGTTTAATATATTCACTTATTCAGCAAAGATTTACTGAGTGCCTACTAGGGTTTACTAAGTGTCAGACACTGTGCTCGGCATCGACACCCAGATGTAGGGAAGGCGCAGCTCCCGGCCTTAAATAACTAAAATCTACTGGGTGGAGAGTCAAGTGAGGAGGGCCTGCGGCCGGCCCTCCACACAAGGACACACGTCCACAAAGTGCTGGGTGGCCCGTGGAGGTTCCATCACCCATATGCAGGTAGGAAAAAGGAACCAACAACAGACTTTTAGATAAAAATTTCTTACGTATTACTCACCCTAATAAGCTTTTCTTCTTAGTGGGAACTAAGGCTGCTGCTTTGTTTGCTCTAAACAACAGGTCGCCTTTGACCTATACAGGAAAGGTAAAATGACATACCCAAAAGGTCCCTTGAATTTTGACATACCATTTAGGAGACGCTGGGGGGGACGTTGGGTTTGGAGGTATCCAGGGAGCTCTACTGTCTTTCACAGGCTGTTGGTTTATTTTTAATCTGGATGAAACTGTTGTCTGTTGCAACCTGCTTTTGCTGTGAGATTGGGCTGATCTACTTTTGCCAGCTTTGTGAAGTCCCTGTAAGAGATAAATACGAATTACAAAGCCACATGGGTATCACAGAAACTCTGTCTAGGAAGCTTCAAATGCCCCTACCCCGTTCATGCACAAACTCAACCAGAGACACTGAGGTGGCACCTGGGGGAGGGTGTAAGTGGCACTAAAATAACGCCGGTAATGAAGGGGAGGGAGCTGTAAAACTGGAATCCTTCGCTTTGCTATGCTGTATATATTATATATAAAATAAATGTTTATATGTTTTCCTAATTAAACAAACAAAAAAGGGAGATTAATCTTTAAAATATTCTTTTTTTAAAGATTTTATGTCTTTATTTTTAGAGAGGGAAGGGAGGGAGAAAGAGAGAGAAACATCATGTGCGGTTGCTGGGGGCCGTGGCCTGCAACCCAGGTGTGTGCCCTGATTGAGAATCGAACCTGTGATGCTTTGGTTCGCAGCCCGTGCTCAATTCACTGAGCTACGCCAGGCAGGGCTAATCTTTAAAATATTCCTGGTTAAAATATTTAACTTCTCTGATCCTCAGCTTTTTCATGTAAAATGGGAGAGAAGTTATTCACAAGTTTCCAGATTAAATGGGCCGATATAGGAAGCGTATGATGATGAGGGTGGAAAGGCATATGCCATCTAAACAAATGATTGGGGCTGTACCAAAATGCTGTGGAAGGTGAGGCTATCTCTGAAGAAGAGCACCAAGCTGAACCTTACAGGCTCAGTTCTGACTTCCCAGGGATCCCCGAGAGTCGGTTTGGCAAGGAACAAAGATGCACCCCAAATCCATGCTCTATTGGTAACTGGTGGTACCTGCTGACTCCTGTTTCTGGGGCCACCTGCTAACACACAGGTTTGCGACGGAAGCCTCAGGATAGCACCATTAAATGGCAGTACCCCGCATCGAGGGTATTTAGACTAGGAGGCAGTCTTCTCACCAGTTCTCCCTGGGTAGGGCCTTAAGTTAAATTTTAAACAAAAGCTTAAAATATAATATAGTTCCAAGTAAGCTGACCTCCAAAGCCATATTAGAAAGTACTCGCCCTAGGATACCTTTATTATTGAGTAGTTATTATTTATTACCAAATTTTAATCCCCTCAAATTTCATATTTTCAAACCAGAAACAGAAAAAAAAACCCTGAATTTTAAAGTGGCCTGCCTGATTAGGATCATGGTATCAAATAAGTTAGGATTTTAGCAAACCAGGATGAGAATGCCCTGTCCTAGAAACAATATTAAAAATTGCTATTTTTGTTGAAAAATAGAAACAACCTGAAGCTAAGCTAAGTCAGCAATTTAGACAGGTGGGATCCAGTGCTCTGGCACTCAGATGTCTGAGAACCCAAATCCTGACTCCACCTCTTAGCAGCCTGCGAGGTCGGGCAAGGCCAGGTTAACATGGAGGGGCCGGACGAGAGCAGTGACGTCATACTTGCTGTAGTCTTGCCGGTGGCAGACCGTCTTTCTTCCTAAGGGGTGCATTTTCCGTCACAGGCTTTTGCCACACTGCTTTGGTTTTTGCCAGGGCTAATGCCTCATCTTTGAAGCTTGCATTTTGGTCTGGAATAGATGGAGCTTCTCCTGGAAGGATATCTGCATCGACCACATCAAGCTCATTCTCCAGCCTCTGGGTCACTGGAAGCTCTTTATCAGACTGGAACTTATCTATATGGAAGATTTCAAGAGGACAAACTGAGAAAAATGTTCTTCGAATCAAGTGGGAAAGAGTGATTACAGACAGATAAGCTCCAAATACCTATCCCAGCCCTGTTAAAAACTGAGGTGTTTTGAAGCCAGAGTTACTCCTCATCCTATCACTCCTACTGCACTTCTACCAGAAGGAACCCAAGTGTCATGGCTGGCTCCCCAAATCTCCCCTCCCACATTTACTCCTCCACCTGGTCCCTTTGACCCCAATTGTAAAATCTCTCTTGTACTCTTCTCTGCCCTTCCTTCCCTCTGTGACCACCCAAGGTCAGGCTTGTAAACCCTTGTGACTGTAATAATAGCATCTCCCAGCTGACCCCTTCTTCATCTTCAATCACGCCTATACCTGGCTACCAAAATTATTTTTTATAAAATGTAAATATTTAAATGTCATTTCTCAAAACCTGTGATGGCTCCTAATTTGATACAGAATAGAGTCTGAACTCTGTACATAACATTCAAACTGCAATGGGAAAGGAAATCAAACTGCCTCTTTTTGAAGATGATATAATGCTTTTTATATAGAAAATCAAGAGACTCTACAGACAAGCAATTACAATTAAGAAGAGAGTTCAGCAAGGTTTCTGGATTAAAAAAGAAAAACATACAAAAAATCAGTATCACTCCCACACATCAAAATAACTAGAGAAAAGATAACAGAAAAAAACCTATTAACAGTGGCAACAAAAAGTATAAGGCACTTAGGAATAAATCTAACGAAAGATATATAAGACTTTTACAGAAAAAATTCAAAGGTATTTTTAAAGGACATGGAAGAATGTATAAGGAAATTATTTTTATAAATGAAAAGAATACTGTAAAGATGTCAATTCTCCCTAAAGTAATCTATAATTTTCACTGTAAATTCAATTAAAATCCCAACAGATTTTTTTGTGTGGATCTTAACAGGCTGACCCCAATATTCTCATGAAGAGTAAAATCCCATGAGAACCCGAAAAACTGTGAAGAGTAATAACAAAGTGTGGAGTGGGGCGGGAGTGGGAGTCCTATTCCATCAGAGACACAGTGTTCACGATAAAGCTGTAACAACCAAGGCAGTGTGGGAGGGAAGCAGGAACGGGAGGAAACCAACAAAGCAAAGTGGGCGTGACAAAGGCAGCATAAAAGTCAGTGAGTCTGAACTGAGTTCCATGGTGCTGAGACTATTCATACCCACAAGTAACAAAATGAGACAGGATCCTTGCCTCACACTGAAGAACACTTAAATTCTTCTTTTTTTTAAGATTTTTATTCATTTATTTTTTAGAGAGGGAAGGGAGGGAGAAAGAGAGAGAGAGAAAAACATCAATGTGCAGTTGCTGGGGGCCTTGGCCTGCAACCCAGGCATGTGCCCTGACTGGGAATCGAACCTGCGACACTTTGGTTTGCAGCCTGCACTCAATCCACTGAGCTACACCAGCCAGGGAAGAACACTTAAATTCTAAATGGAGCGAAGACCTAAATGTTAAGGAAAACTTTAAAGCTTTTAGAAGAAAATACAGGAAGAATATGATTACAATATCAGAAAAGGCTTTCCTAAACTCAAATCTAATATTAATATATTTAAATTTAATTATACTAAGCTGCAACTTTCTTTTTGACAAAAAAAAAAAAAAAACCACCATAAAGTCAACAGACAAGCCAGAGTCTGGAAGTAGAGATCTGCAATACAAATATTAACACAGGATTAATATAAAGAACATCCACGAATCTGAAAGGAAAATAAACAACCCAACAGAGAAATAGACAAAGGACAGAAACTAGCAATTTAGAGAAAAAAGCTGAATGTCAACAGAAATATGAAAAGATGATCACCAGTAATCAGAGAAACCCCAATTAAAACAATGAGATGCCATTTCACACTCACCAGATTGTAGGGAAAGTTTTACCATGAAACACCAAACATGAACAAGGATGAAGAAAACAAGTGCCCTCAACAAGCTGCTAGTGCAGGAGCGAACCGGCCGGGCTGCTGGGGGAGTGACTTGATCGCTCCAGTGAAGCGGAAGATCGCCTGCTCTGCAACCCAGCAGTGTCACTTCTCCGCACAAACTCAGCCTGGAGGAACTCACACGTGTGTGCACAAAGACATGAGCAAGGACATACACTTCACCACTGTTTAGAAAAGCAAAAAACTGGAAACAACCCATGTACCCGTCAATAGGAGCTGAAAATAAACTACGGCTTATTCATACAAGGGAAACCCATGCAACAGCTATATTAATGAAACAGAATTCACCTATCAACATGAACGAGTCATTCACACACAGGTGGGGAAAAGCAAACTGCAGAGTGATGCTTACTATAGAACTCCATTCCCATGAAATGTATAACATACGAAACTATGTACTGCTTATGGAGAGATATATAGCAAAACAAGTATACAAACAGAACAGGTCCATATTATAATAACAATAACGCGACTAACCTCTGGTGAGGGAGGGAGGGCTACAGAATGAGGAGAAGAATATAAAAGAAACAACTGTACCTGCCATATTTACTTTCTAAAAAAATTCAGAAGCAAATAAAGCAAAATGGTTCAAATCTGTTAAAATTTGGGTAATGGATACACAGGTATTTACTATTTCCACTCTTTTCCTGTACGTTTTAAATAGTTCATAATAAAGGGAAAACTATATTCGAATTAACACAAGTAGGTCAAGAGCCAGATCCCTGCCCCAGCAACTGTGTCACTTCTTTAATCTGATAGTTTTTAAAGCCATGGAAGTTACACAGCCAGGAAATAAAAACTGGAAGGAAAGGATGCTGCGATTAAATCCTTGGCCTATAATTTATAATTAACCTTCAAGTTTACACACAGCAAAGGAACTCAGACCCCTCAGTCCAGAGGCCTTTTCAATTACGATCTGCATAAATCAACATGTAAATAAATACAGTAACAGTTCCTGGGACAGCTGAATTTGAGGAAGGATGGGGTTGGTAGTGGGGCTGGTAGTGGGGCGGGAGCATCATCCTTGTATCTGGTAAGTTACACTAATGCAATCAGCCATTGCAATAACATCTCAGAAGCCACTAAAGAAATGCACCAGGCAACAATTATCTGCATCACAGGATTTAATCAGACTCACATACCAGTATACCCCAGATGAAAAGGGCAGAAGAGGGTTTTCCGCCCAAGTAGTTCCCTATGACTTTCTAAGGGTGAGGGGTGAGGAAGAGAGGATATTACTAGGAAGTCAGAATGAAGGAAATTTAGTGACATCTAAAACAAGCAGAAAATGTAACCTTCTGAAATCCAGATCACAAGGGCAAGAAGAAAACACAAAATAAAAATAAGAGGGCTACCACACCCTCCCCATGAGCAAATGTATTAAATTTGTGAAGTGGCTAACTTTAACCACACCTCAATTTGTATTATGGATGATAGCAACGGTTACCGTTCTCTCTTACATCTGCACAACACTTTTTTTTAAAAGATTCTATTTATTTATTTATTTATTTATTTATTTATTTATTTATTTATTTATTTATTTATTTTTAGCAAGACAGAAAGGGAAGGAGAAAGGGAGGGAAAGAAACATCAGTGTGTGGTTGCCTCTCATGTGGCCCTCACAGAGGACCTGGCCTGCAACCCAGGCATGTGCCCTGGCTGGGAATCAAACCGGTGACCCCTTTGGCTCACAGCCTGCACTCAATCCACTGAGCTACACCAGCCAGGGCTGCACAACACTTTTTCACTGACAACATAACTCACAGTGAGCCTCGCCGTGACACACAGGGCAGGCAGGACGACGATCACCACCTTTTTCAGGTGAAGTAACAGCTAAGTGTTTTTATTCAAGGTCACAAAGTTTGCGGTCCAGGGCTAGGAGCATTCGTTCTGCCCGATCAGGGAGTGTGGAACTGTTCCATACAAATCCATTCTCCAGGTAACTGAAACTTGCTTACTTCTTTATGACCACTTAGCTTAATCATTTTAAAAACCAACAAACTCTCATTTTTTAAATGGCTACCAAACATTGCTTCCTTTTAGAATATGCCTAACAAAATCTAACCTTTTCTTGAGATTATTATTATGAACTAAAAACAATACCTTAAATTTTTATAGCATTTAGTAATGATGTAATTTGTTACTTAGAACAATTAAGTCACATAGGATAAGGACTATTATCCCCATTTTACAGGTGAGAAAAGTGAGGTTCCAAGAGATGAAGTCATCAACCCAGGGTCACAAAGTGACAGACCTGGGACTAGAAGAGAGGTCTTTTTTGTCGACATTTTCCCATGGTTGTCAGTCTCCCAGCTTCCCCACATCTGCTCCTATGGTGAGTTTTGGATCAGCAGGTTTTCCAACTTCTCTTTCTGAAGCTGGTCCTACTTTTTCACTAATCAGTTATGGGCACCTCTAATCTTTTAACTCATTCGGGAAACACATTTCTGTGTGCAGGTCTGGAAAGTTCTCTACATTTCCTCCAGAGTACCACAAGTGAGCCCACAACACCCAAACTCAAGCTACTGTGGTTTGCTGCTCAGAAGCGCTTCTTACTCAATTACGCTTCTTCACTGAGTCTCCTGCTGAAGGGCCTGTGTGTCGGACACTGGGCTGACCATAAAGGACATGATGGCAAACAGACACGATACTTGTCCTGAGGGGAAAAGCCGGCAAAGGCAGATGCTGTATTAGCTCCAACTGCCTACCAATGAAGAGAATATCACATTATAGTGAACAAATATCTAATAGTAATCCAGTAAATTAGTTTGTGTTACATTCATGTTAGAGATGGTGTATTAAGCTACCAAGATTCCACGGAATTAGTGGCAGATTGAGAAATAAGTCAAATGAAAACCAAACTAATATATAACTTTCAAATCAGTAGAAAAAAACAAAATGAAACAAGAAAAACTTTATTAATACAATAAATTACAACAAAGGAAAAAAGAAAACGCTAGCAAATGAAAAACATAAAATAAGGCAGAAGAAAGTTCAAATATAGAAT